GTGGAAAATGCCACCAAATCCCAAAATAATATGCTCAAATTCATTTTCAACTAACTTATGTCTTTAAAAAAAAAAAAAAGGATTTATCTGTTTATGCATGCAAGATTTGATTACAGGCCAGTGGTTTGGGGTGGATGGTGAGATGATTCACCAGAGACAGAGTGGGGAGCAGAACAGGTAAATATAGCAGCAGGTGGGTCAAGAAAGATCTGCCACACCATGTGGGTCACCTCCCCTGCAGGCCAGGGTTCAAACTCATGCTGCAGTGGCTGCGGACAGCCTCATAGTGCTGGGTTTTAACCCAGCCCATTGCACCACCAGGGAGGGCCCTGAGTAAGTTATGGCTTTTTAGGGGTCCGTGAAGGGTGACTCCAGTTTATTTTGGCTCTGTTTTCCAGTGTCTACTTAACACAGGGTCACCTTTACATAGAAAAGCCCTTTGCTCTGCTGAAAAAGTGACTTCTTCAGAACAGATAAATTAGGAAAGGCACTGTTTCCTCTGGCTGATAAAGCCGGAGCGAGGACTTGATTTGACATATCTGCGTGCAGATTCTGGGCAAGATTTTTGTGCCCCTCTGGTGTATGACCAGGTGGGTGGAGGCATGGAACTAGGACAACACAGCATGCATGCCAAGCCTCTCTTCACCTATGAATTGAATCTGATGAGGCAGTGGGCAAGGGTTAAAGTAAAGGGACTTTCTTATTAAGAGGGTCATGGGGCTGAGCTTGTTACACGTTGTCAGTAATAGGACCTACTCATTCTCTCCTGGATCTGTCCCCGCTTTTTGCACTTGGAAATATGAGCCCTGAGAATTGCAAAAACTGAGCACAAATGACTCCCTCCCCAACCCCGCACCAGGAGATCTGACCAAACCTAGCATGGCTATTAGCAACCAAGGGCCCTGGCGTGACCCTTCCTATGCTGTGTCTCTTCCCTCAATTCCTAGCTGGAGAGGCTCAAGGCTACTCCCCCCCCGCCCCAAATTACCACTTTTTCCAATTAATTTCCTCAAAGTCTTTGGAATTCCCTTTATTGATTTTAAAAATAAACAAGCCTAAGTCTTGAGCCTACTTCCATCCCTTTGAGAAATATATATGTCTCTCCTGCAAATGGGGGGTGTATTTTCCAAAGACCTGAAAGGCATTCCTTTGAAATAGAATCTTTAGGAAGGACAGGGCCACCGACGCCTAGTCTTTGTGAACATTAAAAGTCTAACTTGGATAAATTCCAATTAGCAGACAAGGATGACCTAAATACTTTGACTTTCACCAGCTTTTCTATAACTTTTTGCTTGTCTAACTCTGCTCAAATCCTCCCCCTTGCTGCTTCTTCTCACGCCCTCATGCTCCTATTTGACTTCTGCTGGGTTCTTCCTCACAAGTCAGAATCAGCCCAGCTGTTTCCTCTCCTATAGTAGTTACTGAATAAAAACTGTTTTTACCCCCTTTAACTAGAACATGACCTTATGTCTGATAATTCTTCCACCTCATTTTTATTTATTTTTTTCAAAAAGCAATATAGCATGCTAGAGCTTAATATTCTAGTACACATATTTTCCATGTTGCGACTTGGTTTCTGTAAGTATATTTAATCAGTATATGGATTAGGCACTACAAACTTCTTTTATTTTTATAAATTTATTTATTTATGCATACAGATCTGGGGTTACAGGCCAGAGATGTAGGTGCCGTGACAGGATTCACTAGAGACAGAGTGGGGAGCAGAATAGACAGATTAATGAAGTTACACTGCTGAGGGGAGCAGCGGGCGAGACAGGAGAGGTCTGCCGCACCATGTGGGTCACCTCCTAGGCTGGGGATTGAACTCGTGCTGAAGCGGTTGTGTCTAGCTTTGTAGTGCTGTGCTTTAATCCACTGTGCCACCAGGGACGGCCTGCACCACAGATTTCTTAGCTACAAAAACCATGACTCAGCTCCCTCATTCTCTTGGTGTCTATGACCCTACACACCCCATTTCCTCTCTGGCCACGTGTCTGCATCCCATCCTGGCTCTTCTTATGGTCCCTGTTAGATTTTGTTTCTGGACCTACCCTCCTCCCAGAACCCCCTTAAGGTGAGGGTCTGAGATTGGCTGGTCACCAAAGTCAGAAACAAGGTTCAGTTTAACATATTAAGACGGTCATTGCCCTACCAGCAGTGGAGAAGGGAAAACTTGTGTTCAAAAGCAAACTTTGCCCAGAGTCTCAGAGAGGGGTTCCTTTGTCTTTGGGTGGAGTCTAGTGTGTTGGGATGGAGGGAGGAGTCTCAGAGGTCATGTCCAGGTTTCCTTTTGTACCTGGCACTTTTCCCACACCTCCTTTATGCACAGGCACTCATTTCCTGTCTTGAGAATGACCACTTTGGTCCAATTGGTGGCTATCGCTCTTCCCTTTTACTTGGAGTAAAGAACACAGCTTGGTGTTGATATTATTCCATTAGCATATCTACCTCCTGGTTACAATTTTGGTTGGTTTGTGCTTTTTTCCCTCCTTTTCCTGTAGGCTCTCTCACTCCATGGCATCAGTCTAGACATCTCCCTGGAGCTCCAGGTTAAAGATCTCACCAATTCATTCTCCCTAGATGTGCTAGATGTCTCGCAGCACATAGAACTCAACAGAGCCAAGAATCATAATTTTACACCCAAAGTTCTTCTTCTCCAGGGATCCCTTATTCTGATGAGCAGTAGCACCATCACGCCAATGCTGGGGCCAGAATCCCAATGGTGGCACTTGCCTTCTCTAGTATCTTGTACCTTTTGCCAAGTCCTGTTGATTCTACATCCAGCTTTGAGCTTTAGAATTCATTCACATCTGGATCATGCTTAGTGAAATAATCCAGAAAGAGAAAGAAAAATATTGGATGCTTTCATAGCAGCAAAGGGATAAGGGAAGAAAAAAAAAAAAGAGAGACAAACAAATGTAATAGAGTAAAAATGAAAACAATGAACAACTATAAACCAGAGACATTTTATGGGGGTGAAAGGGGAATGGGATCGGAACTGGGGTGGGAAGAGCACACTGGACTGTGGTGATGGCACACAGGTGAATTGGTGATGGGAGGCCCATGGGGATTGCAACTGAGATGAAAAAATGCACAAAATGAAGAATGATGCAAAAAAAAATTTAAAAAGAAAGGGCAGTGCAATTGTTGCAGGGCAGGGCAGGGCAGGGACCACCCTGTTACAGAATTAAACAAGATCGTAAAGACTAGAGAATGATAATAAATAAAATTTTGCATAAAATGAAAAAAAATTCACTCACTTTTCTTCATTCACACTATGATCTGTAAATCAGACTGTCATTTTTCAACTAGATTAATCAGTTCCGTAACTGGCTCTCTACCTCCAGTATTTTCTCATCAACTCATTTTCCACACTGAAATCCAAGAAAATTTGCTAGCCTGTGACTGTTGTCATGTTATTCTGAAACTTAAATTCCTTCAAAAGCTTGTCGTTGCCTTTGGGGCTGACCAGGCCTTTTTAAAGAGTAACTGGTTCTGCCTGTTCCACAGCCTCATTTCTTGACTTCCCACCCTCTCCCTCTGCTCTGCACCTAGTTATCTTCTTATTCTGCCAGTAAACCCTTTTTCTATAGATCCTATTCACATTTCTTGCCTCTGCCTGTCTATTCATCACATTATCATGTCACAGGACCTATCTAGGACGTTGTTTGGCATAAGAGACATGTATTACTTAGTAAGTACACAAATTTCAGGTGAGAGAGCATTAATATAGTTTCTGGAAGCTGGATATATACTAATAAAGAAGCGGAATAGCTAAGTCCATAATTGTGTGTCTCAAGTCTGGAGTAATTCAGAACAATGCGCGAATTCCTATTTTATCACCTTAGTCCAATTTCTATACCTTTCTAACCATCAATTTCTTGATCTTTGAAATGCAGATAAAGCATATGCTTCAAATATATAATGTGATGATTAAGCAAAATGTTCAGTACAATGTCTGATATATCAGCTTTTAATAAGTGAATCCAGCAACAATTATACTGGTGATCATGGCCCTTGCCTCCAGTTGAAAATTCTGATTTTCATCCTCATCTATATAATGGATTTTCAGTAAGCTTTGTCAGTTGCTATTAGCAAATAAAAATATCTCTTATTATCTGCAATAAGATAGGCAAAGGCCTTGTATTTCTTTGACTAATAGCAATATACCTATTACTAGATACTCATGTTATTTATACATGCAGACTCCCCTTAAAAATTACTCTACCACAGCTTCATGAACATAGCTATTTTGTTGACTGTAAAAGTTTTCTTTAAATGAGTTTCCAGGTATACTATTATGGGTAACATATTTTCATATCTTCATACATATCATCTATCTATCTATCTATATCTATCTATCTATCTATCTATCTATCTATCTATCTATCTATTGCTAGGTTGCTTTTGTATTGGCTACTTATTCTAACTTTAGGATCCTTATTTGTAATTAAAAATGAAAAGCATAACTATACTTTCCTGTGTGTTCCTTATGCACTGGGGATGGCAATATTTTGGACTGGTAACTTGTTTTAAGGCCACTACACCCCAAAGCAACCTCTCTCACAGTGACACTGGAGATTCACTAAGGTCATGTGTGACATTAAGTGCACTACCTAACCAAATACAATTTTTAAAAAATTATTATTT